TTAGAAAATAAGAAAAGAAGAAAGAAAATAGCAAGAACAAGGGTAGAGAGAAGCACAAAAAGAGGTCAAAGAGAGAGAAAATAAGAGGGGGTGAGGGAAAGTGAATAATGAAAAGAGAGATCCCAGGTAAATAGACGTATATATACATACACAACTATAGACTAAAAAGAAGCCGCTTTTAGAGAAAGATGCAGAAAGCAAACAATGAAACGAGCCAAATAGGAAACAGATAGATAGATAGATAGATAGATAGATAGATAGATAGATAGATAGATTGTGATGTACAGACGGAGATATATACAGAAAAGACTGGAATAGATAGATAGATAGATAGATAGATAGATAGATTGTGATGTACAGACGGAGATATATACAGAAAAGACTAGATAGATAGATAGATAGATAGATAGATAGATAATTAACGGAACAGGATAGATAGATAGATTGTGAGGTACAGACGGAGATATATACAGAAAAGACTGGAATAGATAGATAGATAGATAGATAGATAGATAGATAGATAGATAGATAGATAGATAATGAACGGAATAGGCTAGATAGATAGATAGATAGATAGATAGATAGATAGATAGATAGATAGATAGATAATGAACGGAACAGGCTAGATAGATAGATAGATAGATAGATAGATAGATAGATAGATAATTAACGGAACAGGATAGATAGATAGATAGATAGATAGATAGATAGATAGATAGATAGATTGTGAGGTACAGACGGAGATATATACAGAAAAGACTGGAATAGATAGATAGATAGATAGATAGATAGATAGATAGATAGATAGATCATGAACGGAACAAGATAGATAGATAGATGCATAATGAACAGAACTAGATAGATAGATAGATAGATAGATAGATACGAATAGAACATGGTAGATATTAACAGAGAAGGATAAATATGTACAATCTTTGATATTATGCAGCTGTGAAGCGCTGTATGGGACGGATACGATGTCGGCAATTATCATGAATATGGTCCTTCTCAGTGTGATTATAACAACTTTCTAAAACTTTATTACTCTCTATACCGTAATTATGAGATATCATGTTCACTCATCTTCACAGTCTCTTATCTGCTAAAGATCCTAACGCACTAAATACATATATCGGCTCTTCAGAATGGAGCAGTTAGGAAAACAAGTAAATAACGTAAAGCAGCGACCATGTAAAAATAAAACGAAGAATTAAAACAAAAATAAACACAGTAATCGGGAGGCTCCACTTAAAAAAAAAAGCTTCTGAATTTCTGCCTGGCAATTGTGCACTTCAAACTTGATTTGTGTTATATATAATAAAGTGTCGGTGCCGACACTGGAGTTTGAACACGTATCGCCAGAGAGCAAACACAGGCGATCCCATTTTGAATAATAACATGAGGGCAAAGTAAATGCATATATGGGAATTATCGTAGCGTCGAACTGATCACCATTTCTACTCTATCCTCTATTACTATAGGGTTCGCGTTTCTTTATACTATCCTCTACACTATTTCTTTATACTGATCACTACTTAATGGTTAATATTCGAGCGAGTATCATCAAGCAAGTACTATTAGTGCGAGTGTTACTCGAAGGCGTCTGACATCAGTATTGTTCAACGGCGTTACTATAGTTGCATCTGCGATTACAAAGTCTCTTCTACAACGAGCATTACGAAAGTAACAACGGATATTCGTTGACATCACAAAAGTGCCAACGTGTGTTTAGTTGACATTACAAATATTTGTTCAGAAAAATCCACTTACCCCAGAAATTTCAATTTTTCCCTAATCTGGTTTACCTGTTTGCTGATTGCAATTTTTAACGGTTCTGAGACACGGAAAAGAAACTACAAAACCTCCTACGAATGGTATCGAGGGAGATCGAGAAGAAAGGACTAACTACAAATTACAAGAAGACAGAATGCATGACTATTAGTAAAAGGATGAGCCCAAAATGCGATTTGCAGGTCGGGAACACTAAAAATCAAGCATGTGCGGAAGTTTAAATATATGGGAAGTATTTTGACGGAGGACGGTAGTTGCGACGCTGAGATCCGAAGACGGATTGAGATGACCAAACAGGAGGATTTTTATGGTGATATAAAAAAGAGTACTGTGCTGCTACGTGACATCTGTCCACCTATACGGCATTGGACGCTATATTCAAGGATGAAGAAGAAACTCGAGGCGGCGGAGATGTTGTCCTACAGTAGTATACTGAGGATATCATGAACCGAGTATGTGAGCATTAATGATATCTTGGAGAGGATGCAAACAAGGAGGATGCTTATACTTAACATAAGGAAGAGTCAAATGAAATTTCTGTGACACGTGATGAGAAAGGAGGGCTTGGAGAATCTGATACTCACGGGACGAATAGAAGGGAAAAGAGACAGGGAAAGCAGCGCATGCATGATATACCTGGCGGGCATTGGCAGGTGAATGGCGGAGCGTGATCTGGGGAGTTGGCAGAAACACAAAACCTGTTGAGAACCACAAGTGATAGTGGGTAGGGAGGACAATGATCGCTTACAATTTTAAAGGACACGGCAAATAAATAGAAAGAAGTACAAAATACTTTGTAATCTTTGATTTTTAAATTATTTTAATCAATTCACCCCAATTAAGGTGATAATGCTACTAAGACGCAAGGTACTACAAATGGTGAAAGAGAATGAAAAGTCTTCAGAAGGATTCGGGAACTCAATGGTAAACTGTAAAAAAGAGGTAAACATATACTGCTGGTAACGAACATATTGTAGGTTATTTTTTTTAGAACTAAGTATTTTATTTTTTCTTATCAGTGAATGTCTTATCCTAATATGCATTTTAAATTTTCATTAATAACCTTACCGATGACATCAGCTCTCAACTTGGAATCTGCGCTGTTGACACACCCATGTCCTTCTGCCTCCATATTTAAACTCTTCGACAATATCAAAATGGCTGCCGATGTTCAAAACGACTTCATGCCCGCTGTTAACTGGGGAACAAATTGGCTCGGTAATTTTAACGCCTCCAAAACTTCTCTCAATTAATCATCTGAGAGACCCCCCCAATCTCTGCCTTCCATTATCGTGGCTGATGCTAACCTCCGGGAAAGTGACTCGTTACGTCTTCTCGATCTAACGATTTTAGCTGACATGAAGTGGAAAGACTATAACGAATCCATTGCTAGATCAGCTAACAAAGTTGATTCAGTGTGTCTGCAAGACACTCTTTCTATCCAGAATTTCTCAGGTATATTTGTAAGTCTACGATTCGTCTATGCATAGAATATTGCAGTCAAATATGGCTCACAATATCGGATTGAATCATAGAAAGCTCGTAGGGAAAATCTTGTTTCAGTTATGGACCTTATTTACACAACAAGATAATACAACAAAAATGTAAGTATCATTTTTTTTTTTTTTTTTAGTTTATTGCAGTATTTGGCGTTTTCCTTTGTTTTCTATAGCCTAAAAATATCCCCGATCTCCCATAATAGTTGTGGCCATTAGTGTATTAAAATTCAGCCTTAATTATGTGACGCGTAGTAAATGAAATATTGTATAGACAAAGGGAATCGTCTGTCTAATAACATGAAAAAGACACGGAAAGCAGTCAAACTCAGTCAAACTCAGTTAAAGTTTAAACACGTTTTCATTAACGATACACTGTTCATCTGTTGTTGGTGGTAGATACAGATACAAAGGTTAAACTAGTAAAGCAGAACACGATTATCTAGAACAGCAGACAATAGTTAGGTATAATTGCTTATTTTCTCCATTTAAAAAAGCCATGTTGTTGATATATTCATCGACAGTTTTTTTAACTACATCATGGTAACTTAACTATCTAGCTTCATTCGGGTGTATAAGCGTGGGTTTATATGGACTTATATATATATATATGTATCATACGCACAGGGTTAAGAGATATTGTTAAAAAAGATTAATTTGTGGGTTGATAAGTTAATATAATCTAATGCATTGGTATTTGCGTAGCGTAATTTTCAGCATCTGTCTATCTATCTATCTATCTATCTATCTATCTATATATGTATTTATTTCTGTCTATTAATATCTATAAAATTCTTTTCAAAATCAGTCAATCTTACTCTGTTCATATCTATCTATCTATCTATCTATCTATCTATCTATCTATTACAGTCTGTTCATATCTTTTTCTCTCTCTCTCTCTCTCGCTATCTCTGTATATATATATATATATATGTATTTCTATCACAGTCTGTTCATATCTAAGTCCATTCATATCTATCTATCTATCTATCTATCTATCTATCTATCTATCTATCTGTCTATCATTCTGTTCATATCTATCTATCTATCTATCTATCTATCTATCTATCTATCTCAGTCTGTTCATAACTATCTATCTATCTGTTCATATCTATCTATTCTGTTCTATTCCATCAAATCATTTCTTTGGCTTAGTTTTATGTTAATTGTTTTAAATGCAATTGAGCTTATGTCTAAATAACGTGCAATAAATCGCTCTCCGTTGATATTAAACACTGTAGAATGAGCATAGGTGAGTTAAAACCAAGCGAAGCAGAAAAGAATTTGGAAATCGATATGGCATCATGAAGACAAATTAACGGAAGTTCGGATCAAACAAAATATATATATATATATATATATATATATATATATATATATATATATATATGTGTGTGTGTGTGTATTATTTGAAACATTTCACTCTCTTTCTCAACAGCTGGTTCGTTTAAATGCGGATTTTATTCCCTTTTGATTTTACATTTTGCCTTGATTTCGTCTGCTTTAAGTTCAGCACCAAATTGCTTTGGCCATTTTGCAATGATTGGCAGTTTTCATATCGTTCTTGAATCTATCAAAACGTCTCGTCTAATGAAACCTCCTTTGGTTCTATTTTACATGTATTTCACAGTCTTTGTTTTTATTACCATAGATTTTTGACAGCAATAGACGATGAGATACATTATGTCTGAAATTCTTAGACGTTGTCTATTTTTAGACACGCTCGATTAGAAAATCTACCTAGAAACAAAAACAAAAGCAAAAAAAAAAAAATGAATGCGATCAAATATCTAATCTCCTATATGGCAGTTAAAAAATTACCTGCCAATAAAGAAGAAATTTGAATGTACAGAGAAGTACAGTAGTTCTATATTGTGATAACGGAAGACGCCTTTCAAAAGCTAAGGCAAGTATTATGAAACACAAAAATTTCATTAGAAACAAAAAGGAAAAGAGTACTGAACGTTTATGTAAAATCAGTCTTCAGTGAATACTGGACAATCTTCTCACATATGGAAAAGATATTGAAGCAACAAAAATCTACAGAAGCATGCTGAGAAAAATCTACTGGAGCATGCTGAGAATAAATGAACTATCGAAGATTAAAACAATAAGGTTACTTATACTCAACATAAGCAGGAGATTGTTGGAATTTCTAAGGCACATAATGAGGAAAGACTTCTTTGAAAATTTGATATTCCCAAGACAGATTGAAGGCAAGACGGACAGAGTGAGAAACGCATGACCTACCAAGCGAGCTTGCTTTAATGACAGGGCAATGTTTAGGTGAGATAACAAAAAGACATAATTTATGAAGGGTTACAAATGAGAGTAAATTATAGGCAGCAATGATAATCTACGTTTCGATTGGAAAAGGCATATAGAAGAATAAGTCGACCCTAATTTCGTACGTTAATGATGAATTGGGTAAATAAATGTAATCAGATCAAACTGCAATGGATTCTCCTGAACGATATAATGAAAATATGTTGTGATTGCACATTTTTCGTTCAACTGTACACTAAATTAATATTCCTTGCAAATACTTGCAGAAAACATTATTAAAATAAAATAAAATTAACTTCGAATAAACCAATTATATTTTATTCTGGGAATGAATGTTTTAATCATTTTTAATCCATGGGAAATGTATTCTTCCAATTAACGCAATTGGTATCTGAATGATAATTTATGAAAATGCATGACA